CTATGTAAGGTTTTGATCGTTGTGACGGATAGTCTCGAGTAAAGGGGAATCAGAATTCAGGTTGTAGTGCATGACGTTGAGATGTTTCAAGGGTTTCAAGGTTGTAGTGCACCTGGAGTCAGCCTGTTTGTACCTCGGAAAAATGGCTGCAAGTACCTGCTTCTTCATGTCCCATTTTCGGTACTTTGCAGGATCCAGGTAGGACCTCGTAGGGCGTACCTTATACCGGGTAGATCAATAGTCCCACCATGTCCCACCACATGCGTCCGTTCTCTTGATTTCTCTTTCAGATGCCATGAGGTCGTCCGCAGGAAACCCTGAGAATGTGCGCTCACGCAGGTGGGGTCATCCCGGATGACCACGGGCCGCATGAGTCCGGTTGCAGGGAACCACCCCACCCCATTTGGATTGAACCTCTTTTTCGGTGGAGCGCTTAATAAGGCGTATTATGAGTCTACTATTACCACCTGCCCCTGCCCCAGGTCAACTTGAGCGGCAAAACCGCTTCCCAAAGACCTTGTGGATCATCATCTTGGGCAAAAGCACCGAGCCACGCCACCCCTTCTCTGGAAGTACTTGCACCTTCGAACCCGCCCTTCGTCCCGCCTGGCAAAGTCCACCATCTCCTGGCCATGCAGCACACGGTCGTCCAAGCACGAGGCATACCACATCCTCTGCAGACGGCCGAGGTCTGTCGCGTGAGGTGAAACCTTCGAGAACAGCGCCGCGGAGAACACTGGAAAGCGCCGCCCCAAAGAGAGGTTTTCCTGGAGAAAATGAAGGAATTCATTCACGTTTTGTTCACTGTTCTATAACCGACTGGGTCGTTATTCGAGATTCATTGTTGCCGAAACAACTGGAAGTCCAATAAAGCCTGATGATCTGGTACAGTAAGCATCATGTGTATTCATGTGTCACATGCCTTGGTTTCACATGTCCTCTTGTCCTCTACAAAACGATGTCATTTCATTGTGGAAGTCAGATGCACTTATATATATATATATTATATATATATGTGCTAAAATACCAACAATAACTAATATATATATATGTATTTATGCATATATGTATAATCACACGATCCAAAACCAATGACTGCACTTCTCAATAGGTTCCGCAGCCATCTCAATCTCAGAATACCCTCCAAGCGCAGAACGTCGGTGTTTAAGTGTTGCACGTCCGGGAAGCACAAAACAAACCAGCTAATTTAGAGCCCCTGTACACCGTGCAGTTCTCAACAAAGTTGACCACATTCAATATGTTTGCATACGTAAATTTACATATAGAGCATCCGACGGGTCAATCACATGCCACGGTTTTTTGCATCCGACGGGTCAATCACATGCCACGGTTTTTGGAACACGGTCTTCACCATGTGGTGCTTCGATGCCGCTGTGGATGCTGTACGTCTCCAGCTTCGCTTCAATATTCTAAGCACTACAAAAGGAGTTATTCAGGGTTGATGACATAGGAGTAATTGCGGCCCGAAGGTAATGAATTGTGGTGACCGGTGGACCATGCTTCTTTGGTAAACTCAATGTCAAGAAGGATGGCACAGGAGTGAGTTCGGGGCGTGCGACCAAACATGCAATGAACAACATATTTCCCCAAATCAAGAAGTGTGTGCCGTCAGTTGTCCAATCAAAACTGATGTTGGTGCGCCCCAGCCTGATGACATAGGTTGCTGGTCTGGCATCCCTTGTGTCATTAAGTCCTGTCACTGGCTGGCAATATACCCGATCCGGTGTTTCAAAACAATGAAAAACAGAGGTTTTCACATACAAAACCATGTTTTTTGCTAGGGAAAGCTGGTTTTGATGGTTTGTGGCGCCCCAAACAGGATGGCAAAATGCGCCACCCAGCAAGCACGTGGGCGCAATTCCCACCCCGCCACGCCCAGCCACGCAAATCCGGGAGAACTGGGCGACCAGCCTAGACCTGGGGAGTTGGAAGGGTAGCCTAGCACCCAGGGTCCAGAATATGTTTTACTACATTTTATTACAAACATATCAAGAACTCTAAATGCTCCAACATTAAAAACAAAACAAGGATAAACTGAACATTAAGTTCTGTAGTTTTGCTGGCTGCTGACAATCATGAGACTTTTTAGTTCTGCGGGCCACCCAAAAAGTACATATAATCTAAAACTTAATTAATGTTTTTCATATTTGGGCTTTGCGGGCTACTTAAAAAAAAAAAAAACACAAAAACAAAAACCCATCAGGTTCCTAGGTGTCCAAGCGTTTATATGTTTAAGTTTATATAACCATAAAAATAAGTCTCCATGTTTAAGAAACAAAACACCACAGCAAACAACTACATATAGTTTCTTTACGTAATGTTTATTACGTCAAGGGTTAAACAAAAAACATATGTAGTTGGTTTTAGTGGCCGGCAAATCTAAGAATCAACTAAATATGTTTGGCTTTTATAATGTTGATTGTACTTCTTCTTGAATTCTAAATACCTGGAAACCTAGGAACCTGAAATTGATCAAAAACAACAGATTCTATTGCTGTTCCTCCTTGCCACTCCTTTACAAGAGTGAGACATCACGAAACACGACTTTCCTACAGCACCCCTCCCGAGTCATAAAAAGGAGGACCGAGGACATCACGTTGGTTCCAAACTACTTCCACTGGTCAGAGGTATGCTAGTGTTGGTTCTCTGTCACCCTTGTCCCTCAGTGTTTGTTGCAAGAAAGGCAAGCATTGTGCAAAGTATAGTGCAGTTATACTACTCTTCCTCCTCCCTCTGTTGAAGGCAAACGACAAAGGATGCTACCGCTGTTCCTCTTTATAATTCCTGGTGCAAAGGAGAGTTGTGAGGACAAAGAATAACATCATGTTCTTTGAGTGAAAGGGGGGCGGCCTTTCTTGAGGTGGAAACAAGGTAGTAATAAGGATGGAAAGTATAACGGACAACAAGTAAGCAAACTAGCACAGGATGGATACCAACATCCTTCTTGCACAGAAAGGGAGAGAGACAATAGTAGGAACAGGTGTAAGAGTGCAACGGTTGTTCCAAACAAGCAAGAGCACGGCCGCTGGCGTTAGGTGTGATAGGTCTTTTCTGCGCGTGGTGTGATACGCCGCTGGTGTCGTTAGGGCCGGTCAGGGTGACTTTCCTGGGGAAGCGAGAGGTCCAGAAGTCAGTCTTCTTCATAAATCAGAGGTGCAAGGAAGGAGAGTAGGAACATGCGTGGTCCTCTTCTTCAAGCAATGGCACTATAAAGGTGCGTGATTTAAAAAAAGAGCAGCAGCAGCAGTAGGAGGAGGAGCAGTAACTTGTGTGCAAATCAATCCATTGATGCTAATGATGCGGACTTATGTAGTAACAAAAGGTGTTCTTCCCTCATCTATCGATCTATTGGTTGACATATAGTTCGGGTGCTAAATAATGTGTCATGCCATGGTTGCCCATGGTCAAATCAAGGAAAGTCGTAATTCGTAAGCAAGAAGCGAATTACGAAGGCCTGGCGGCCTAAGGAAAACGAGGAACATGTTGATCCTAGCAGTTGCATGGGAGGGAGTTGCATGGGAGGGAAGCAGAAATTGAGGAGCCGTGAGGAGTGAGAGAGGTGGCATCGCCTGGACCCATTTCTCTAACCAAGGAAAACCATAATTCGTAAGCAAGAAACGATAGGAAGGCCTAAGGATAACGAGGAACACTCCTGACCCTTGCTTGATGGACGGGAGTTGCGCGGGAGGGAAGCACCGCGCTGCCCAAATAGTAAACAAAGCTACTGTACTTCGCCCTTCGTGAACCTACGTACCATCATATGCTGGCCAACGGGTTGTCATATTACACGCGAAGGTCACCCCGGCATATTAACATATAAAAATGTTAATTACACACACACCTTGTCCCCACACCGGGGGCATTTCTTACCACGCTCGTCACGGCCCTCCGCAAGGGAAATGGCAGTCGCCGACTGAAAACCCAACAGGGGGGCCACGAGTCACACACGTTCAATGTTCAACTTCATGCACCCCAGCCCGGAAAATATAACACGCCTGAAACACAACCATTTCCCTGCCGCTGGCAGAATGTTGCATTAACATTTTTTTGGCAACGGTTAACACATTTGAAACTGCTGGCGTAAAGAACCCCAAGCATCTTCCAGACATGCCTTAGCAGGCTACAATCCTGAATCAGCAACATGCAGCCAAGGCGCCTGGCTCAGCTATAATGCAAACTCATGGAAACTCACCATGTTGCTGAACCGGCCGGCATGGAGTTGGCACAAATCCACGCCAGAATATGTTTGTTAGGTTTGGTCTAGCAAGGGGGACCTCCTTCCGGCCTGAGGACTGAGGACCCCCAGTCGCTCACCAGCTCGCCTCCTATAAGCAAATTACAACAGGGGTTTGTACCCTCAACCCCCCTTGTTGTTGAGCGTAAAATCCGCTCGTAAACCTGTCCCAGCGACAAAGACCCACCTCCGTCCTTGGCTCACCAAGCAGCTGGTCCAGTCGGAGTCTCTGAAAGTGCCGCCTGGCGTGGTTGCTTTGCGCGTGTGGACTTGGTCACGCTGGGATTTTAGCCAGCCGCCAATGTTTCTTCCCGAACAACCATTGCCTTTCTGAGGATGTTTGACTTCTGTATGTCACCCTCGCTCCCTGCCTCTGATAGGCTATGAAAGGGCCGGGTAAATGATATGCCCACTGTCCAAACTGCACTCTATGACTTGGGGGGGATGCCCAACTTCCCTTGAACTGACGAGAGGAAGGCAAAAAGCAAAAGCGACCAAGGTGGGAATTGCCCTTGTCCAACTCCCCCCCCCAAGCATGACGTGCCTGTTTCACATCTGAAAATGGGACACGTACTAGCAACTGGCAAGGAAGCACATCATGTCAGATGTTGGGAAAGCATTCTGTGGGCGTACTGTCCACTGTAGGGTCCCCACCCCTAAGGGTCCACCATCCGAGTCGGATATCCTGCCGATCGGCCCTTTGTCTGGAAGTATGTACTCACCTCCCATGCGAAAAGGAGATACCTGGGCCCTCAGGAAACTGTATAAATGCAACCGATATATTAACTGCACTTCTAAGACTCACTACCCCCACTCTGCGCCTTCCACCAGCCCCAGAACGGAACGAGATGCGAAAACATACGAGGGCCCCTCGGCCGCCTTGGCCTGTTCCGGGCGAAGACTCAAACTCCTTTGGGCATCCCATGGGCCACTAACAGTGGATCATGATGGTTAAGCTGCCGACCTCTCAAAAAATGCCGATGATTTTTGACCTCTACGGTTTTTTTTTGTTCGGCGTTGGGCCACACCCAAAGTTGAATGGATCATATCTCAAGTCTCCAAACTTCCTCAAGTCACGATGAAGTCGGGTCCAACTGGCGAAAGAGATGCCGATCTCAAAACACATCTTGGTGATTCTCAGTTCCAGTTCCAGCTCGGATCATGGCACCTCCCAGATCTCCGCTCATGCTTTTCACCCACCTCCGGGCGACCCTCCCCCATCGCCCCAATGGTCTGTTCAGGTCACGCACGGAGCGAAGCTTCTTGCCTGGACCGGATCGTCGACCAGGGGAGAACACGGGAGACATACCAGCTGGAAACAGAAGCGTTTACATGTGCCTCGAACCCAGTCCTGACCCCTGTTTTGATAGGAAGTTTGGCCATATGTTGGGTGGTTGGTGGTCCAGAGGTCATTCAGGTTCTAGGTGTGTATGCATGTGAGTAATTGTGAGAAAGTGTTGGTACATCTGTATATTTACACTAAAACCAGCTGGCTGAACCAAACAAATCATGGCCGACATAGAAACCTGCTGGCTGATGAAACAAATCACCAACACTCTGGAGCAGGACTGGTTCGATGCTCACCATTGGATTGTAAAGTTGTAAAGCCTCATAAAGCCTCCCTCCTTATCAGACCTCATAAAACAGTGTGGAAATACCATCCAGAGTCTACATTTCTGTGCTTGAAGCTGATCTGAAAGATAAGCCAAGATAAGCCCACGGAGCGCCAACAGCTCCTGCTTGTGTGTTCCGCCGGTGCCACTCACCTGGACCTGGTTTCAGGGTGTTCCTCAGACCGATCGACCGAAGGAGACTACAAAACCGCCCATGCAGCTACTGCAGCACCGATTGAACCAAGAGAGGTCTCCAGTGACAACGAACGGACCCGGAACACCAGTTTCCCGTTGAAGGGCTCGGATCCTCCAAACTCTGGCGATCACCAGGGTTGAACCCCGGCTCACCGTACGGACTTCCTGACCGCACCTCCCTCAGACGTGGGTGGATCCGAATCGGCCTTGCTCACGTGGAAACAAGTCATTTAAGCCCTAAGCCGGTCCGATCGAACACCTCAAAGTGGAAACCTCCAAGATCTTCTCTTCGGTGAGGATGAAGCTGCGACCTCTTATCCTCTCTCCGCCCCAACCAATCCCAAACTGTCCCAAGTTCGGGGTCGTACGTACGTTTCTGCCGTCTCTCGTACTGCTGCTCTCTCGCTCTCTCTCTCGCCCCTGTTCCCGTTGGGGTCTTGAAGACGCTCTCCCCCTCCGCCCTCTCTCTCATTCACGCCTTTCAGGGCGCTCAGCACGCTCACGGGGTCACTGGAAGGGCTCTCCGCACCCTGGAGCCACAGGCGGCGCACACCGATGCTGGTGGTCCCCACCAGGGATCGCACCTGTGGCGCGCCACGGGAGGGGCGTGGTCGACCGGTCGGCCGGTGGTTTAGAGTATGAACCACGCTAGATGTACCAGGGCCCCCTAAACCAGTGGATCCCAGGAAAACCACTAGTAAGGAACCAGGGATTCGGAACTGGTCTATGGTTTTAGTCTTCATGTTGGGGATCTTTTGTTTGAGCCGCTTTAGTCTTCACAGCTAGAACGTGTTCTTGCGCACCAGCGTGTTCTTACGCTCCAGTGAATGCGGATCCAGAATCCACCCAGTGCTGGAACTCCGTGATGAACACCCTACAGCCCCCTCACCACAGGTGGCTTGGCTAGACAAAACAATCGTAGCCTTTCGGGGGGTGACTAGTGACTATATTAATTAATAAGCTTTGGACCGGGGACTGGTAATTGTTTTTCCGCAAAGCTGTTTCATTCTGGCTCTGCCTCCGATACATATCTTTTGCGCATGATTGTTCCTGGTGATCTTGACTCTCGAGGCTGCAGCTTAGGCTTCTTTGCGACAACGGGTGGAATTATCTGTTTAAATGAAGTTGCGCATAGTTGCGCAACGACAGTTAGCTCTATCGGACATGTGGCAGTCAAGCACATCTGCTCGTCAGCCATGGTAATACCATCCAGGGCAACCAGGCAACCACGATGTCGCTGGTAACCAGTGGTTCCAGTTCGACTAAAACCATAGACCGGTTCCAAATCCCTGGATCCTTATACGTAGTGGTTTGCCTGGGGTCCACTGGGCATCTTTCCAGCGACTCCCAAGTTCTCGCCGTTGACTTCAAACCGATCTCGTTGGCATCGACTCATCCCCCACGACCTGATGCTGCTCCCCACCCCCAAACAATATATATTTTTATATCATGTTGCTTCATGGGGACGTGTCTATATAAACAGGAGTCTCATGGATTCGACTAGGGGGGTTAGACTAATCAAGAGTCTACCAGTCACATTCGTCTGGTTTTGGACCCGATCTTCGCTCCTTTTGTTCGGTTTCCAAACCCGCGCGCGAAACCGCACGGATGGAGAAACGCGTGGCCTTGCACGTGATGGAGACGAGTTCTAAGTCTTTGAGACCGGGCCAGCCGTTCAGTTCTCCTCAGACCGAACCGGGCCAGCGGTGAAGATCTGACGGAAGACCGTCACAGCTGATTCCCAAAGAAAGAAACATAACCTCGACATGTCTATACCCAAACGCTCCATAGTATGCCATATATTCCATACATGGAGCGTCTGGGATATATCTTATGGATCGCTGTGCAGCATAAAGCTACAAACAAACTGGTACCAGCACCATCCAGTTGGCGACTCCATGGTCGTGGCCCCAGGCCTTCTTAGCCCACCAGTGCTGGTGATGCATGAGCTGGGCACTTTCGGAAGTGGCCCCTTGACCGATTCTAGTCAGCATCCTCCAGGTCAAAGGAATTGATCAGTCCAGTCAGTAGATTGGATGGAATCCCTTTGGCCTTCAGCATCAAGTAACCCCCTGTGCACATGTGAACATGTTACAAAGATCACCACCTTCCAAGGTGGTGACACCTTCTACATCTCGAACAGTGGCGGCGATGGCGGGTGGGGGCGATTGCAACTACCGTACCCAAACGATCCATATGGAACGCCCTCCTGGAACTTCACACGGAAGTGGAACATGATTCGGTTGGATCCCTTTGGCGCCAAGATGTGGTTTACGTGGCTGGTGTCCTTATGGTTTTGCGGCGCAGTGCCAAGTGCAAGCAAGCCTCCTGAAAGGATCCAAGCCCCCCGCTCGTTCTGCACCTCTGGAAGTGGAACATGAAGCATATCATCTGGTTGGAAGGTTTCAGCTCCCTCTGAGCAACATTAGTTGCTTCATGTTCATCAATCCCAAACACGACTAATGCGACTGCCATAGGACTGCCGACACATTGACCCCCCTGGCACCACCCCTGGCCGTTTCTCGGCATCTATGGCAGTCCCATGAGTCGTGTATGGGTATTTTCCCCTGGGGCTCCAACTACCTCCTGAGAAGATGGTTATGGTGCGTGCCAGGGGGGGTCTAACCACCGAACCCAAGGATATGGGCCAGGAGCCCTGGGGTTCATCCATCATCCCAAGTAAAGCTTGCACATCACAACATCTGAAGCAACATCCTTTTCCCAGCGCCGCAACGCGCCACGGTCACATGATATGGGCCCAGTTGTCTTCCCGGTCGTGTTCTGGCCTCTCTTCCAGTCTGGACCGGGGAGGGACTGTTAGCCAGTATCATCCAGGTGTAACATGCCATCTTTTCAACCAAAGGACCTGACTCGCCAGTGAGTACCATGAAAAACAAGCTTGCCAGGTCTTGTGGACAAGGTCTAAGGTCATGTAGACTCCCAAAGGAACAAGCATGCCCCTCATTTGGATATTCAAATCTCTTCATGTGAGGTTGAACTTCAAGAGATCAATGCTCTCTACCACGTCGGATCTTTCCGGACCCATCCAAGGAACCAGTCGTTCCAGCAACTGTGAGAGCTTGATGTGGGGCATTGGGCGGCAGGGCTTCCTGAGGGAGGTGATGAGAATCTGAGAACGAGCCTCGCGGCTGGGGTCTTGGGATGGTGGGGTGGTGGGTGTACTTCATTGTGCTTCAGGTGGGGTGGATGGCTTGCTGAGCGCAGTTGCGAGCCGGAGACGGCAAATGTAAAAGGCACACACCCGTTAAGTTGTAAAAGGCAGCTGTGGGCGTATTCATGATAGTCCACCTTGGTGAATGTGCAAGCAACGCGGTTCTTGATGCTCTTTGGCCTCTTTGCTCCAAGAAGGGTTGCGCCAATGGAGGGTTGGACATTCAAAACCCTGAACATGATCTCTGCAGCAGGAGCCCCACAAACCATCAAAAACCTGGTTTTCCCTAGCAAAAAAAAAACATTGTTTTTGTATGTAGTGAAAACGTAAAAAACAACATCTATTTTTCATGGTTTTGAGGGCCCCTGGCACACGCTGCATAACTAGATAGATCTTCCAACTCTGCAAATGCTTTATTTTGCCTTTTGGCGGGTTTTCTATGAATGATAAGGACTCCTTGCACAGTTGGAAGGTCCAACATCTGCACCCTCAAACAAAAAAACTGTTTCTTCTCGGCCCTTTCTACAGGATGGATCGAGCGGCCAGGCTTCTACAGCGCACCACGTGGGATGGGAGCACATGAGAGCCAAATATTGGAACAACACCCGACAGCCTTCGACCAATCCCCAACACTGGGACTGCCATACATGCCGCCCCATGGTCTCTCCCGACTCACCATGTTCGTAGCGAAAACCGACTCACTGGGCCTCGTCCAACGTCCAACGTCGCACACCGTGGACGCTTGCTGACGAGTGGCAGCTCGCCTGGACGACTACACAGCTTCTTGTGGAAGAAATCATCTTGGACGATCTGCGCGTGCCACTTACAGCCGGTCATCTTGGCCGCCTGCGGCGGAAACCCGCGGAGTCGGCACGGGCACGCTGCCTTGCCCGGCCGCGGACGCTCCCTCCACGCATGGAAGTTGACAACCCACTTGTTTCTCTGTACGACCATGGCTCGTCATCAAATGAAAAACTGTCTGCAATGTTGAATAATGTTGACAATTAAATGCAAGCCATCTTGTTTCTGCAAGTTTAGGTTTTTCCTGGTCGTTGATGTTCCTTCCTTCTACCCAAACGCTCCAAACAGCCCTCCAAACGGGATTCGTTCGACCCCAAACCCTTCCTATGAGGTCCGACCCCTACAGTGCGGATTCGGGCCCAGGGTCATTTTGATCATGTCATGACCCGAACTTGGCGATGTCATCTTTGGGTCCACGCCATCCACACTGGAAGAGTTCCATACCCTAGGGATCCAGTCGTACCGAACCTCAGGTACGGTGAGAGTTATGTAGGTGCCATTGTCGGGTCCAGTCGTACCGAACCTGAGAAGATACGACTGGATCCCTAGGGATACATCCCTGGGGCTCCAACATATCCTCAGGTTCGGTGGTTAGAGCCCCCTGGCACCCACCCCAACCACCATCTCCTGAGAAGGTTGGAGCCCCCCAGGGAGGGATACATCTACCCCCCATGATGACCCTAACTCGTCCAGCTTTGAACGCGAAGTCGATCATCGTGTGACTCCTTGAGTGGTTTTACCATGGTTTTACCTGTTTGACCGGCATTTGGTGGACGAACTAACCCCAACGGGTCGCAGCTGCCCGACAGGTCCAGGCTGACACAGGGTCCGACACAGGTCCGGTTCCTGGTGACATCCGAAAACCACATGGTCGAGTCGTGCTTCTGCATGATCTTTCCTCCAAAGTGAGGTCTTACTGACCTGTACAGGGAATGAGCTTTCAACCACCTCTTTTTCCCTCACTCGCTGGTCTAAGGTGAGTCTCAGAAACCCGGGGCCTGCGCAGCAGTCACTGGAAGGCCCTGCGCAGCAGTCGTGGGTGGGACTCGATTCCTTCCCGTGTCCACCATTCCTGGAGAATACGGGTCCACCAAGCGTTTTCATCTGTTTTTAGTGGGAAACCAATCCCCCACAATCCCCCCCAAATCATGTAAAGGTGATCCAAGTTTTCTGGGGTTCTCGGACAAGCATCGATATTAAGCGATATAGGTCTAAGTGCTGCTTCTCGATTCCTTCCTGAAACCTCTTCCACATCCATTGCCATTCAGATCCTTCTAATGGTCGATGGTCCACAGCGGCCACGGCCAGACTCGGACATGACTCGACCGGAAAAACGTCGTCGGTCTGTCCAACGAAATGGTTCGAATTGGCCAACAAGGATCTGGAATTCTCCCAGGGGGCATGCTGAAAAGGCTACATTCTATTTCTCCCTTAGTTTCCGTGAAACAAAGCTTATCCTTTTTGTTTTCAACGAGAAAACATCCACAAAAACGTCTGTTAAGTCTAAAGGCTAAAGATTGTCCGCTGATTGAGTATGTTTCGCAGGGCTGATCTGCAATCCAAAAGCCAGTGACAACGAGGCTTCAGCTCCCAGCAATCCTGCTTAGGATTGCTTCAGGCTTTTTATAAATTAGACTCGTCAATCACAGTAGGCATGACCCGACCCCCAACAAATGATCCTGGCAACTCACCCTACAGTAGCTTTTCTGTTTACCCTTTGGGGGAGATCTGCCTATCTACTGAGCAAGCATCGCATGAGTATGACGAGAGTATGGCCAGAGTAGGAGGGGACGCACCAGATTCACCACTGGTTGGAAGGAATGCAATTCGAGAATTTGACCCATGCAGAGCTGATGATTCTTGGCGACCAGTTCTAGCGGCCGCAGATGAGTGGAGAGTACCCCCCAAGAGTACCGGCTTCCAAGTCCTGGCTTGAGTGGAATTCCCGTTCTTGATCATGAAGAGCTTTGCTGATTCCACCTTTATTGATCACCTCTTCATCCGTTTTTCATTCGGCCTCCAAACCTCCTCCCAACCCCTCGCCCTCGCCCCTCGCAATCGCCAAAATCGCTTTACTGCTTTTTGGCCAAGCAGCCGCTGTTGGAACCTCCTCTTCAGGCATGGCCTCCCGGTGCTCCGAGCAATCAGATCCTGCTGCTGGATGTGGTGCGCTGATGCGGTAGATGGATCCAGGCTGGTGGACTGGACCGTGCCTTGTGAGCGAGAACCGTGCCCTCTGGACATTGCTCTTTAAAGAGGGGATTGGTGGAGACGAAGATCAATTGCGAAATGGTCATCTCAAAATCCACCCTCATAACCACCCCGAGAGCGGACCAGGCTGTGTCCTTCGCCTTCCTCCATGCCAGGGCGTGGAGAAGGGGGAACACCTCAGAGACAACTGCCAGCCTCAGCCTTCATTCACCTGCTCTAACACACTTTGAACAACTTGACAGGGCTTGGGGTGGCCTTTTGATGGGTCACTCCCAGTTCTGGAGACCTTGAACTCTGGAGACCTGCTCCCCTCCGGATCCCAGCAGCTTGGACCCCAAAACAAGCTCGGCAGATCTGGTCAAATCGGTCGATCTATTGGATCCACATCCAAGTCCGGACGTCTTCGAATGGCCCTTTCGGCCTCTCGAAGCTCGCAAATGAAGTGCAAACGATTGCATTGGCATACCAGGATCATCCTGTCTGGGTGTCCAATAGACTACCCTACCCTACGTAAACAGGTCTCCATTCGGCACCCGTTGGAAGTGCTAGGTAGAAATGAACCATGAACCACCCTACAGTGCCCTACAGTACTTCCTGGTGGCCTTTCCAAGCTTCAGATCTCTCCCACCGTCCGCCTCCCCCTGAGCTCTGCGCTGACTGGTGGCTGTGAGCTTCCATAAGGGCTGCTTGTTCCTTGCACGGGAGATGAGCCTCCGCAACCTTGAACGGCGCTGCTCTCCCAAACGGCGCAGGGCGCCACCGGCGACCAACAGATTCACGACTTTTGCTGCTCCCGATTGCTCGTTCGCTGCTCTCCCGGTGCGACTAGGTGCTTCGATTCTGAGTGGGCCTTCAAGAGGTTCTCTGTCTGGAGAACCCGCATAACTAGTGTACAATAGGGCTTCCAGCCAGGCGACCCCCTTGAAAGTGCTGGTCTTTAAGGCTTTCTGATTTTATGGTTAGCGTTTGTAACACCAAAACGCTGGCGCCCGCAGCACCACTGCCCCACGCTCACTTAGTCAGTTCAGGCGAGAGGCCCATCTCCGACAGCGGAACGCTTAACATGTGGGCGCGCACAGGCGCGCGCACGGGTATTTGAAACCGTGGGCTTTGAGGTGCGCCTGGGAGTGTCCCAAAGCCTACTCGACCGGGCTATGCCTTTAGTTGACTGGTTAGGGTTGAAAAGGTCAATTGCTTGCGGATGAAGATGCAGAATGGCCCTTTCCACGAGGAAACATGATTCAACTGCTATGCTGGCAGCGATGCTTGGTGTTTTGACATGTTTTGAATGGCTTCTGCCATCTGTCCATGTCGCTTCGCGACCGGGCTTGAGTGCACGCAAGGTCATCAAGCGCTGCAGTAGGGCTCTAAGTGCCTCCTCAGAAGGTGTCTAACCTCTTAGCACCCACCTCAGGTCACCTCAAACCCCTTCAAAACGGTACTTTGGCAGACGACGCATCGGGCTGGCCACACGTTACACGTGTCCTTGGGAGTTCATGTCGTTCATGTTGGACCGCGCCAGCATGAAGCAACCCCCAAGCTGAAGAACGACCGGGTGAACTGGCTGGTGGGTGAACTCGCAACACAGGAGATCAAGCCGGGTGAACCTACAGTGCTTTTCAGAGTTGCTTTTTCTTTTTCTGCACTGGCACCCCAAGATGTCTGTGGACAGATGGGGTGTCCGGTCACATCCCTTTTACTACACCAACTACTCAATCCACGAATACCAGGTGGATAGGCCATTCGCAGGGGTCGTTGGTGGAGTCGCTCCAGGTTGGGCCTGCCCAAACGACCCCGTCGGACACCCCTGAGCGATCCTCGCAGGAAGGACATTCGAGCCATCCTCGTTCGGGAGAACCTTGGCGATCGAGATCGGCTCAAGGAAGCCGGGACAAAGACTTACCCGAAGGATCCTCACCCTAAGGATCAAACTTCTAAGAGTCACCTTCTAAGTCTAAAGCACCTGAACACCATCATGATCACCCTAAGGATCCTCACCCGAAACAAGACAAGGGTTTGGTTCGGGGCCCCAAACCCTTGTGAACTAGAGGGTTCGACCCCGACCGGCATGGAGGGTCCAAGGATCTATATACATTTGGGGATGCACCCAGTTCGGGAAAAAATACCATCATCCTAAGATATCGCAAGCAAAACCAGGTGTGGGGACACGAACTCCTGGAGTTGATGAACCTGCAGCTCCGAAGAGCAAACAGGTGGGTTTTCACTCACTCCACCGTAACCATGAGTACTTCAAGGAGTGGATATAGTATGCCCTAAGAATCCGGACTTTGAGGGCCCGGACCCCTGCTATGGAGGGTCCGACCCCTGCTATGGAGAGGCCAAGGATTCTTAGGGTGATATAATACCTTGGGTCTATACTATTGCCGCTCACCGTGGACGATGATGGTTAGGTTGCAGGCCTTGTTCCAAAATAGTGTGTTTACCGACTGTTACAGGTAATAGGACAAACGCAAGTCTAATACCCATCATCTGACTTAAGCAACCACTCTGAGCACAAACACTTCACACCCGTCATCGCCCACTGTTCAGAGGGGCAAAAAAGAAGCCTAAAATGATAGGGTGAGTTCTTCTTCCCCAGCCAATAACTCGAACACATCCAGTTGCTTCTAAGATCTTCTGCATGTTCTGAATGCTTCTTCATTCCATTTTGCAGCTCTGAAGCCGTTAGCCCCTCCAGCTGCACCAAGTTCCGTGTGTCCTGGCACCGCGGGTTACGACGACCATGAAGAATGTCCGTTTGACCTCTGGGGAGCTTAAGGAAAAACAGCTCCAGGATCAATCTCCCATACACTCCATGGGACTGCCATAGGACTGCCGATCAGGCCAGGGGTGGTGCCAGGGGGGTCAATGTGTCGGCACATATTCCAGTTTCATGGAGCGTTTGGGTCTGCCCAGACGCTCCGTTCACAACCCTTGGTCCCTCAAAACCTAGGGATTGCTTCGACCCCAGACCCCTGACCCAAGGATTCGGGGCCGAACGGGTCGCGTCTGGGTGGAACCGCTTCTGGCCCCGCACGACCGCCACGACCGCAGGACTTCAGCGCCGGCCCGATTGGGACCGATCGTTCCCGGAGAGGCCGCTGCGAAGCACTCGAAGGCAACAGAGGTATCCAGTGACCTGAACTACTTAAAGGTTCAAGGCGTTTAGTATTTGGATGTGCTGCTTAGTGC